GCGCCTGAGTAGATCAGTCAATTAAGCATCTGCCTTCAGGTCAGGTCATGATCCCAGGGTCCTGGGATGGAGCCCTGCATTGGGGTCCCTGCTCAGTGAGGAGTCTGCTTCTCCCTCTCCCTCTACTCCTCCACTACTCAAGCTTCTTCGCTCTCTCACTCCCTCTCTCAGATAAATAAATAAAATCTTAAAAAAAAAAAAAGATTTGGGGCACCTGGGTGGCTCAGTGGGTTAAAGCCTCTGCCTTGGGCTCAGGTCGTGTTCTCAGGGTCCTGGGATCAAGCCCCACATCAGGCTCTCTGCTCGGCGGGGAGCATGCTTCCCTCTCTGTCTCTGCCTGCCTCTCTCCTTGTGATCTCTCTCTCTGCTAAATAAATAAATAAAATCTTTAAAAAAAAAAAGACTTTTAAAATTTATTTCCAATATAGTGAGTGTGTGTGCGAGAGTGGAGAAGGGGCAGAGGGAGAGAGAGAGATAGACAATCCCCCCTGCCAGCAGACTCCCCACTGAGTGGGAACCACTGTGGGGCTTGATCTCATGACCCTGAGATCAGGACCTGAGTGGAAACCAAGAGTAGAAGGCCTAACTGGCTGAGTCACTCAGGCACCCCCATGTATTTGCATTCTTTCCAGATTTTTTCTTTTCTAGTAATATTGCATGTTCAGAAAAGATGCATGGTAGGACTTTATAATCTTTTTGAATTTGTTAAGACTTGTTTTGTGGCCTAACATGTGATCTATTCTGGAGAATGTTCTCTGTGCACTTGAAAAGAATGTGTTATCCCACTGGAATGTTTTGAATATAGCTGTTAGGTCCATCTGATCCAATGTGTCACTCAAAGCCACTGTTTCCTTATTGATTTTCTGCTTGGATGATCTATCCATCGATGTCAGTGGGGTGTTAAAGTCCCCTGCTATCATTATATTATTATCAATTACTTCCTTTATGTTTACTATTAGCTGCTTTATGTATTTCAGTGCCTCCATGTTGGGTGCATATTTACAATCGTCGTATCTTCACAACAGAGGATTGTTCCCTTTATGATTATATAGTGTCCTTTCTTTTTGTTTAAAAAAAAGTTTTTAGTAGGCTCCAACGGAACCAATACAGGGCTTCAACTCACAATCCCGAGATAAGACCCAAGCTGAAACCAACAGTTGGATGCTCAACCAACTGAGCCACCCAGGTGTCCTTAAAAAATTTTTCAGGTGTGCCTGGATGGCTCAGTGGGTTAAAGCCTCTGCCTTCGGTTCGGGTCATGATCCCAGAGTCATGGGATCGAGCTCCACATTGGGCTCTCTGCTAAGCAGGGAGCCTGCTTCCCCCTCTCTCTCTGCCTGCCTCTTTGCCTACTTGTGATCTCTGTCAAATAAATAAAATATTAAAAAATTAAAAAAAATTTTTTTTCAGTTGGAGTAAAGTTGATACCACCTTTTCCACTTTAACCATTTTATTAAGTAATCTCTACTCCCAACATGGGGCTTGAACACATGACCCTGAGACCAAGATTCTCATCCTCTACCAACTGAGCTAGCCAGGCACCCCATCTTTTATCTTTTGTTAGTCTTTCTTTTAAAGTCTATTTTGTCTGATAGAAGTATCGCTATCCCAGCTTTCTTTTCACTTCCATTTGCATGGTAGATGCTTCTCCATCTTTTCATTTTCAGTCTGTAAGTGTCTTTATTTTATTTTTTAAAGATTTTATTTATTTATTTGACAGAGAGAGATCACAAGTAGACAGAGAGGCAGGCAGAGAGAGACGGAGAAGCAGGCTCCCCACTGAGCAGAGAGCCTGATGCGGGACTCGATCCCAGGACCCTGGGATCATGACCTGAGCCAAAGGCAGAGGCTTTTTAACCCACTGAGCCACCCAGGCGCCCTCTTCTGCCCAATTTTCAATCAAGTTGTTTGTTTTCTTTTTATTAGGAGTTGTTTTATTTAGGGTAAGTCTTTTATCAAATATGTTTTTGGCAAATATTTTTTCTCAGTCTATGGCTTGTATTCTCATTTTCTTGATTTTCCCCATTTTTTTAAAGAAAGAAAATGAAAACGTACTAAGAAACTCATAGAAAGCTAGGCATGGAGCCACAAAGTGAAAGTAGGGTCTTCTCCAATAATCTCAAAGCACTGAGAAATTTCAGGCACAAATTTTGTTTTTAACATAGAAAGACAATCTATTTACAAATCTGCTTCCTTTTACATACCATTCAACAAAATGTTGCCCAAGTAAAGGGCCCTGTAACACTGTATAGAAATTAGGTTCTGTCTAGGCACCTAGATGGTTCCGTTGGCAGAGCACGAGACTCTTCACCTTGGGGTCATGAGTTCAAGCCCCACATAGGACACAGAGCCTACTTTATTTTATTTATTTATTTGAACCTACTTTAAAAAAATTTAGTTTCTATCTAGAATGAGTTCAGGGGCACCTGTGTGGCTCAGTTGGTTGAGCATCTGTCTTCAGCTCAGGTTATGATCCCAGAGTTCCAGAATCAAGTTCCACATCTGCTCTTTGCTCAGTGGGTAGTCTGCTTTTCCCCCGTCTCTCCCTGTTCTTGTGCTCTCTAATAAATAGATAAAATCTAAATAAAATAAAATAGAATGAGTTCAAGAAACACTATACCATCTCAGAATGGAGTTTCTAAATAAATACAAGGAGATGTAGTGATGAAGCAGGCAGCCAGCGTGCTTTGGGAAGGTTTTTGTTTTGTTTTGTTTTGTTTTTAAAGATTTTATTTATTTGACAGACAAAGATCACAAGTAGGCAGAGAGGCAGGCAGAGAGAGAGGAGGAAGCAGGCTCCCTGCTGAGCAGAGAGCCCGATGTGGGGCTCGATCCCAGGACCCTGGGATCATGACCTGAGCCGAAGGCAGAGGCTTAACCCACTGAGCCACCCAGGCGCCCCTTGGGAAGGTATTTTTAAGGGTTACAGAAAGAAGGGCAAGCATTATTAGAAAAAGGGGAAGGGAGAGGCCACTCTTCAGGCCGGCTCTCACATAGGTAATAGAAACTGTCTGATGGGAAAAGAGATTTGAATAACAAGACAACACACACACACACACATGCACACAGACACATCCCTCTATCACTCCAGAAGACTGTTAGTGACTTTTTCGAGAAATCTTACTACCAGGTCCCAGTGAAATTACCTTGCTACTAATACTGGAGCTGCATCTTGCATACTGAATAATAAACTAATAATTCTAACAAGTGTTGCAGTTCTAGAAAGGAAAAGAACTATATCAATATATCAATAGCACTATCTCAAACACAAATTTACATTTATACAAATTTGTTTTTATTTATTTCCCACACCACAGCCCAATCATTTCACACTGAGACTGAAAAACAAGGCAAGAAAACAGGAATAAAAAGTGAAGAAATTTTTGTATTATATTCAAGCATTTGTCTTTTCTGATTATATAAGAGAAAATGAGTATTAGGAAATCCAACTTCAAAAGAGAAATTAAAAATTCAAAATGCTTCTGAAGAGAATCAGAAAACTGATCAGTTAAGCCAGAGACCAGTGATCCAATTTGTTTGATTCAGTGGTTTTAAATTCCAGGCCTTAGCCTTACCCTGTGTCCTACCCTCCAAACGACACCAGAAGTGCATTTAGGGACTATCAACACTCAAAGTTCTTCAACACAACTTTGAAGCAGAGGCTGGGCACCACAACAAACTGAAAACTTGCTTGGTTTTCTTCTTCTAAGGAGTTCTTTAAGCTAAACTTTGTCTTCTCACACACTGTCATATAAAATGGGAATTTCTGCTTTGTCCCCTCCATGCCATCACACCAAAATATACATAAAAGCAAATTCAAAAAGGTTAAATAAAACTGGCTTTTAAAACCAGTTAAAGCAAGTTAAAACGGAATTAACCCCAAAGGGGTTAGGAGATTTTAAAACAGGGAAAAATAAACACAAAAAAACCCACAGGCAGAGTGACAACTTTCTAAGCTAAAATGGATGGACTTTGGCAGGAGTGTCATGTTTTCCAAAGCTGACTTCTGGAAATCTTAAGCTGGATTCAGAAAAATTCCTAACAAAATGAGCCAAGACCCAGGAATAGGTTATTGAGCAAGGAAAATGAGTGATTCCATTTACAAACACAGCAACGAAAAGAAGGCACATCCGGGAGAAAGGTTTAAGAAAGGCTCACTCTGTCATAAACCTTCCTACCTGTTGAATTTCACCATGTTCTGATTCTTAATTTAAAAGCTGAAGCTTATTAAAGATCAGTAACAGAGCAAATGTGTGTCGGGGGTGAGGGGTTTAAGAAGAAATCAACATGGGACACTGTAAAGCAACTAAAATATACAGAAAAAAACTATCTGGCCTCTCTCAGGAGGCTAACGAGTGGTTCAAGGCCCCTTTCGAAAGCTTCAAAGCCAACTCCTTCATAGGTGTCATAAACTCTGTCCCCAGACAAGATTAGGTCATAAGGGCCTGACTATGCCACCAGCTGGTTTTACTACGTGCCTTTCACACTTGCCAGCAATAGCAGTATCTTGAAAAACTTTGCCTCACAGGCCTTTTTATTACCTTTCTCAGTTGCCCAAATAAAGTAACTCTCTACTGTAAGAAACCTGAAATGACTTCATTCATTATCACCTCTGGCGCCAGAAATGGGAACTAAGTAGTCAGCAGAACTTCTGAGGTGTAAGTACTGCTCCCATACGTCTGCACAGGGCACACTGGCTGCAGAGGCTCCTCGAGGCTCCCCCGCATCCACCTCTCCATCTACGCAGGAACAGTGCTGCCTGCACTTGCTCTACAAAGACCACAAGGCAATTTCCAGCTGATATTTAGAATGGAACTTATTTCTTGGTGCTATCAGGTATAAAAGAGAAAAAAAAAAGAAGAAAAAATATCTTATTCTACTGGGTCGATGAAAAAAACCCATCAACACAAAAATCCCTTCAGTCTCTGTTGCTCCTGCAGGAGTCGCCGCCGAGTTCAGAACTCTAACCTCCCTAACCAGCCCACAGCCTGGTGGTCCAGTCACAGGAAGAACAGGTTCTCGCATAGCTGGATGGCTGGTTCGTGATGCAAGATTTGTCCTGACAGGAAAGCGAGCTTGTGGGCATACTTGCAAGGAGCTGGAACTCTGATGGTGCCAGGCCAGTTCCAGTACATGTGGCACAGTTTGAAAGTCAACCTGTAGGCCAAGAAGAAAATGTGATCTGTAGGACTCTCCACCTTCAATATGGGACATGATTATGAAATGGGTGTATGACACACAGCATACTTTTCAAAAAACCAGGGTACTGAGAAATACATGATGCAACTTTGGGGAATCATTATTTTTAAGTGGAATTATTTCCTTTCCACTATTTGTAAGTTAAGAGGACAGGGGTAACATGGGTAAATTCCCTCACTTTAGGTGCCCCGTTTTTAGATCAAAACAAGGTGGGGCACCTGGGTGGCTCCATCATTTAAGTGTCTGCCTTGGGCTCAGGTCATGATCCCAGAGTCTAAGTCTGCATCAGGCTCCTTGCTCAGTGGGGAGCCTGCTTCTCCCTCTGCCTGCTGTTGGTCCTATTTGTGCTCTCTCCCCCCTCCAATCCTCTCTGACAAATAAATAAATAAATCTTTAAAAAAAAAAAAAAAAAGGTTAACAACAGAACTTTTTTTCCTCTCAGTAAGAGGCTGCAGAAGGTAAGTACCACCCCAGCAAACTACTGATATAATCTGAGCCCAAAGACATTGGGTCTCAAAACTTGCTTTATGGGGGAGCCTGGGTGGCTCAGTCATTGGACTTCTGCCTTCGGCTCTGGGGTCATGGTCCTAGGGTCCTGGGATCCAGCCCTGCATCAGGCTCTCTGCTCAACGGGAGGCATGCTTCTCCCTCTCCCACTCCCCCTGCTTGTGTTCCCTCTCTCTAATGTGTGTCTCTCTCTGTCAAATAAATAAAATCTTAAAAAAAAAATGAAGCTCTTAAAATAATTTTAATGTGCACAAGACAGACCAATCCACCTTCAAAAAGATACCATTATTATGAAAGATAAGAAGAAACTCAAAGGGTAAATATTTGGGGGGGGAGGGGATTAACCCTATCTTAGCTAGCTGGCCAGAATTAATTACAAGAGAGAAAGAGTAAATGACAGGTCAGCTCACCTCTGCATGTGATCAGGGCTTAGGTTTGCAGTGTTGAGAACACAGATGTAGTGGGTAGGAATGCCACAACCCTGCCGTACGTGATGAGCAAGAAGGTAGAAGTCTACCCTAGGAAGGAAAAAGTACAAAGGAATGATACGGTCAGATCTGGCTACAGAAAGCTGGAAAAGATCTTGATCATTTTGGCTCCTTTACCTAAGGCTCAGAAAGGTCAAATGACTGGATCAAGGACACACACAGACCACCATGATTATAGCTCAGGTTTCTGGATTCAACAGGCTATTTAAGAGTGGTAGTAGGAACTACCAAAACTGTGAGCAGAAGATTAAAAAAGCATGTACGACCTTAGGAAAATAATGTGCATTCAGTATTTTATACTGAATATTTATAAATACTTATATTTATTTATATTTATTATATGCATTCATATATTTACATAAATATATTTATATTCTATATACATATATTTTATATGTAAAAACTTATACATTTATAAATAACTATTTTATACTGAATATTTATATTTAAATATATTTATTTTTATATAGTTATTATATTTATTATATTTATATATATTTTAAATATTTAAATATATTTAAATATATTTATATTTAAGCTTTATTGTTGTTTTCTTTTTAATCCTTTTGAAAATATTTTATAATAGCAAAATCTCTGAGGATTCCATTCCATGTCTCTCTAGGCAACCTCCCCATTCCAATACCCAGAGAACAGATAACTCTTCACACCTACTCTTATTGAAATATAATGTTTTCCCCCACTTACCACTCACAGCTTGTTATGGTATGATCTACCACAGTCCCAGGGGAGGGAGTCACAAAGTGCTCAGTAGCAGCCAGGTACAGATTAGTGCTGATTTTCTTCTGAACTACAAATACTACCATCTTGGGCTGATAATTCTCAAAAGCTTCAAAACACTTCTGTAGCTGAGGAATCTCGTAGTTGGCAACCGTCTTTAGTTGGCCATCAGACACTCCATCACGGTACACCACGATCTTCTCCGGGAGACAGTGATTCACCTGCAACGGACACCACGCTGAGGTGAACTGTGGGGTCTGGGGTTAATGACCGCAGGCAGGAAGAGGCTCACTCAGTACACAGCCCAGAGATCTGGCAGCAGATCCCTCTGATGGAGGGACCAAACCACCATGTCAGAAGGGAAAGGAGAAAAGATTCTAGTCACTTCTAGACTTCCTCAGGGTAGTAAAACAGACCTGGTACAGAGAAGGTGTTATAAAATATGAAAGCAAAAATAAGCCAGTGATGAGTCACATACTATGGCACGTACTCAAAGTTAAAAGGAATGGTAGGAAAATTATGGGGTGAATCAATCTTCCTATGATTTGGATTTAACATGAATTACTGTCTAGGCAAAGAACAAGGTAAACTGGTAGAGAAATGCACATATGACTGCACATCCTACAAATCTACATTTTCACATTTTTTGTATGTAAGTAACATCCGAAGTTGCTAATTAGTGAAAAGGTCCTTTACTAAATATTATCCTAAAGGATAATATTAAACATAAAGGTATAACATTAAACATTTTTACTTTAAGTAATTAGTTGGCAAAAAGTCATGGTAAATTGTTTATGGATCCAAGTCAAATTTGGATGCTGGCTTGAATCAGTCTGAAGAATAATGTGCTTCCCATTAGAGAATATAATTATGTTCTAGCTGGATTTGATTTCAACGGTTCAAGAGAATAAGCTGTTCTATCTTAAACTAGAAGTTCCCTGAAAAGTGCTTTAGTTTGACTCACAGTAAGTGGCAGTTTGATTCTAATCGCGTGGTATAGGTTATTCACAATTCCCCTCAAAAACCTAAATTACTGAATTAAATATACACACAGACTATACATTCTTTTTTTTTTTAAACACTATTCATTCTTTTTTTTTTTTTTTAAGATTTTTATTTATTTATTTGACAGAGAGAGATCACAAGCAGGCAGAGAGGCAGGCAGAGAGAGAGGAGGAAGCAGGCTCCCTGCTGAGCAGAGAGCCCGACTCGGGGCTCGATCCCAGGACCCTGAGACCACGACCCGAGCCGAAGGCAGCGGCTTAACCCACTGAGCCACCCAGGCGCCCCACACTATTCATTCTTTATACATTACTCTTTTTAAGTTCAATTCAAAGAATACTCTTTAAACATAATCATTTAGAATATTTCTGGAGTTTAAGTTCAGAACTTCAAATATTTTATAAATGTCCCTTTCTTTCTAACACACCTCAAGTATTTCATTTCCAAGTGTGTATTCATCTTCACAGTCCAAAACTGACATTAGTGCTCCAGTTTGTACTACTTTTTTTGTGTGTTATCTTTGGCTGTCCAGCATCTATTCTACCTTTTTTGGTAAGAACATTCAGTTTTCTCTTACCCCCAAAAGGATAAGTCTGGGAGGACTATTAATCCAGGTGCATTCCCCAAGGTTTTTCAGAACTCCTGATCTGACGGGGCTAGATAATTTTGTTTTGCAGGGGCTGACACTATAGGATATTTAGCATTCCTGGCCTCTACCCATTAGATGCCAATAGCAATCGCCCCTGTTTTAACTAAAAATGCCTCTAGACACTGCCACTGCCCCCAGCTGAGAACCACTAACCAAAGGACATAAAGATGACTCAAGTCACATCAACATTACGTTCCTCCTTGCTCTGAATCTTGAGCAGAGAATGAAAATCACTTGGGGGACTCCTGGGTGGCTCAGTCGATTAAGCGTCTGCCTTCAGCTCAGGTCACAATCCCAAGCTCTTCGGATCAAGTCCCACATGGGGCTTCCTGCTCAGTGGGGAGTCTGCTTCTCCCTTTGCCTGCTGCTCCCTCTGCTTGTGCTCACGCTCGCTCTCTCTGACAAATAAATAAATAAAATCTTTAAAAGAAAAAAAAAAGAAGAAGAAAACTGCTCGGATTTTGGACCCTCTGTGGTAGTATCTCTTTAGGTCCTTGCTTCTGGAACTTTAGGAGCTACCCTGGCTCCTGTCCATTTCCCAGCTTGATGCTAAACCTTCTCAGCCGTCCTGAGACTCTCTGTAATTTTATCAACTAATTCCCATTTTGCTAAAGTTAACACATTTCTGTAACTTCTCAAAGTTAAAAGGTGTGTTAAAAGGTGGATACCACAGGTATCAGGAAAAATCTCTCAATTCACAGGTAAGGAAACACAGAGGAAGGACACTGGATCTGGGGTCAGGAGATCTGGGACTGAGTCTGATTCTCCTGTCCCTTGGCTATGATCTTGAACATTGTTTCCTCAGTTGAAAAATGGACATACCACTTTACCTTGTCAGGGTTGTTAAGAGAGATAAAGTAAAAAGTATATATAGTTTACTCTTGAGCAACACAAGTTTGAACTGTGTGGGTCCACTTATACATTAATTTTTTCCAATACAGTGCAGTATTTTAAGTGCATTTTCTCTTCCTTATGATTTTAACATTTTCTTCTCTCTAGCTTACTTTGTTGTAAGATTACAGCATGTGATACATTTAACATACAAAACATGTGTTAAATCTACTGTTTATGTTATTGGTAAGGCTTCTGGTCAATGGCAGGCTATTAGTAGTTAAGTTTCTGAGAAGTCAAAAGTTATACATAGATTTTTGACTGCATGGTGGAGGGGGTTGATGCCCCTAACCCTTGTGTTATTCAATAGCCAACTACATTTATTTATTTATTTTATTTTATTTTATTTTATTTTTTAAAAGATTTTATTTATTTATTTGACAGAGAGAGAGAGATCACAAGTAGGCAGAGCAGCAGGCAGAGAGAGAGGGAGAAGCAGGCTCCCCGCTGAGCAGAGAGCCCGACGTGGGGCTCAATCCCAGGACCCTGAGATCATGACCCAAGCCGAAGACAGAGGCCCAACCCACTGAGCCACCCAGGTGCCCCAACTACATTTATTTTTAAAAGCTACTGAGAATGAGCTAGATCAAGGAAATACAGGTATTCTGAAGCACAAAGAAGGGGCATAATGAGATCAATGGAGTGAAAAATAACTTTTCTAGGTCATCTAATCCAGTCTCCTCATTCTATAAATGACGATTATGGTCTAGACAAGGGTCAGGACATAAGACAAATCACGTTTTTTTAAAAAGATTTAATTTATTTATTTGATAGAGAGCACAAGCAGGATGAGCAGCAGGCAGAAGCAGAGGGAGAAGCAGGCTTCCTGCTGAGAAGGGAGCCCAGTGCAGGGCTTGATCCCATTCATTCATTCACAGAACACTCAAAGCCACTAAATACAAGCAATTGTGCTAGTCTCAGAAAATTAAAAAAATTACTTTGATACAACCCAAATATTCATGGAACCCAAAGTAAAACTGGGGAGACAGACATATAAAGTAAATGCTAGTGATAAATTATAAATAACATTATAAAGGTGTAAGTAAAACACTGTAAGAAGAGAAAAGCATAAAACATTTGTCATCTGGAGAGAGAAAAATGAACATTATGCCTCAGTAAAAGGTGTAATGAAAAATCAGGAGACAATTCAGACAGCAGAGAAGGATAAAAGGATTCCAGGTACAACATAAGCAAAGGCCTAGATTACAGCTGGAGAAAGGGTAAGAAAACTACTAGAGACAACTATATGATCAGTTACACATTTGAAAAACTACTCAGGCAACCATCTGAAAAAACAGATCGGGGCCTGGGTGGCTCAGTCGGTTAAGCATCTGCCTTTGGTTCAGGTCATGATCCCAGAGTCCTGGGATCAAGCCCTGCATCAAGCTCCATGCTCAGCAGGGAGCCTGCTTCTCCTTCTCCCCTGCTCATGTTATCTCTCTATAGTTCTCTCTTTCTCTCTCAAATAAATAAATACAATCTTTAAAAAAAAATTAAAAAGTAAAGAAGATCAAAGATGATTAAGAATGGGTATTAGGACTAGAACACTTCAAGTTCAGAATGTCAAAAGACACCAAAAACCTTCATTCTTACGGTACCACACAAAGAAATCAAAATATAAAAATCACACTCCCAGGGATGCCTGGGTGGCTCAGTCAGTTAAGTGTTTGACGCTCAGTTTCGGCTGGGGTCATGATCTTGCAGCTGTAGGACTGAGACCCACGCTGGGCTCCATACTCAGCTTGGAGTCCTTTGGGTTCTTCCTCCCTCGGCCTCTCCCCCTGCTTGCACAGGTGTGCACATAGTCTCTCCCTCTAAAATAAACAAACAAATAAATAAACTCCTAAAAAAAATCACACTTCCATATGGAACTATCAAAGACCAGCAGATGCAAGAAAGCCTTGATAAACTGACGTGAACAAAGAAGAGCCTTCACAGATGAGCAGGGAATCTCTGAAAGATCCAAGAGACAAATGCCAAGAGTGAGTGTGGGTAGCAGGAAGAGGAGGCCCGAGGCTGGAGAAATTGTTATCCAAAACAGACCAGACTGACAGGATTCTTGGGAGGTGGCGGAGGAGGAAGGATAAGGAATTTGTCTTCCCCCACCCCTCCTTAACAAAGGCATTAGCAGAATCTCCCTGTTGTTAAACGGTTTTAGAGTTCATTGAAGGCTTGCAACTTCTCAGGAAGATTTGGGACAGTGAAGTGCAGGTTATTTCTACTCTCAGTATAAAAGCAGCCCCATTGGGACGCCTGGATGGCTCAGTTGGTTAAGCCGCTGCCTTCGGCTCGGGTCATGATCCCAGGGCGCTGGGATCGAGTCCCGCATTGGGCTCCTCTCTCTGCCTCTGCCTGCTTGTGCTCTCTCTTTCTCTGACAAATAAAATAAATAAATAAATAAATAAAATCTTAAAAAAAAAAAAAAAAAGCAGCCCTATCCCCATGCTCGCCCACACTTCAGGGTACTGTCCTTTCAATCCCAGGATCTGTGTGCTCTGATTGCTGCTTCTGATCACGTGCATGCGAAGAGGCAGGCAGCCATTCTTGCTACATCTATCTCTCCAGCAAAAGTGACTTCCAGAGGCTTTAATGGGTAAGTGCCATTCATTTTGCTCTTTCTCCTCTTTTGGGGGTCAAACACTGAAACTAGACATTCAAAAACAACTGCATACATGTAAA